TGCTTGGGTCACCAGTGAGCCTGGCCAGCCTGCAAAACACCACAAGCCCCTCGCCAAAGCCACCTCATGCCCCAAGGGGAACCCCCATCCTGATCCAGGACATCCTTCAGGCCAAACCAGCTGGCCCCCACCTCTGCACCAGGCCTCTATCCTATCTAATAAAAGAGTAATATGCAGATTGACCATCACTCCAACGCACAACATGGCTGCCCCCAAGTGGTCAAAGATCCTGTTCCTATGTAGACACAAGATGGCCACCACAAAGTGGCCAGCAGAGGAGGGTAGTTGGGAGGGACCAGGCCTACAAAGGAGGGCAGTTGTAGGTCATCAGGCCAGCTGTGGAAGGCATTTGGGAGGGACCAGACCTGCAAGGGAGGGCAATTGAGGTGATCAAGCCTGCAGGGGAGGGCAGTTAGGGGTGACCAGGCCGGCAGAGGAGGGCAGTTAGGGATGACCAGGCCTGCAGAGAAGGGCAGTTAGGGGCAAACAGGCTGGCAGGGGAGCATTTAGGCATCAATCAGGCTGGCAAGGGAGTAGTTAGGGGGTGAACAGGCTGGCAGGCAGAAGTGGTTAGGGGCAATCAGAAAGGCAGGTAGGCGAGCAGTTGGGAGCTAACAGTCCTGGATTGTGAGAGGGATGTCTGGGCAGTCAGACATCCCTTGAGGGGTGCTAGATTGGAGAGGGTGTAGGCTGGGCTGAGGGACACACACCTGCACTGTGCACGAATTTCGTGCACCTGGCCTTTAGTGTAGGATGTAAAAAGCTAAGTGACTGTGCAACTGGGCTGTACATATGATATGCATTGACCAAGGGGGCAAATGCTCAACACAGGAGCTGCCTAGTTGTGGTGACTTGGCAGTAGCAGTTCTTGGATGTAGCACCCTAGAACCAGAGAGGTTAATTTCCTCTTATTGTGCATGAACCCATACACCAGGCCACTAGTCATTATAAAATGATGCCTCCTTGACCATGTATTACATATTTTATGTTATCTTTGGGTCATATATTGTATTCTATAGAATTACCTATTATTTTGCCTCAACTGTGCACTGTTTTCATTAATTCCTTGAATGACAATCACAAGTGGTTTCTATCTGGTAAAATGTCATGTTCCCATTATTAAGCTTTTACCTCTAATTCTGATAATCTTACCCCATCATTGAATTACAGGATATAATTCATTACACCTGCCTGATAACTTGACGTTTACAAAATATATTCCTATACACCTCCCAACAAACATTTATAAAAAAAATTGTCATTGAGGTGCTATCTAATGTTTTCTTGCAGATGAGCAAATTGAAGCTCAGAGAGTTTATTACCACCTGAGGACATTGTTACTTTGTATCATGGCTTCATATCAAATTTCTGTATTTCACTGAATTTAAGATGACATTAGTATAATGTCTACCTATACTTCATGCATTAAAAATAAAACATTGCTAATTAAACTGTGAACATATTCATATCGCTTCAACATGCAAATTACTTTGTTTACATGCTGAATGTTTATGACATTTTAAGGGATATTTTAAACAATGAATATCTTTCCATATATACATATATACAGATATATATGTATACATGTAAATAATTTAAATCATAACATTATAAACAAATTTGACCACATGCACAGGAAATGAAAAGAATATTATATTGCTGATTGACAAACTATGGGAAGTTGGAATTAATTACCAGGCAAATCCTCAGATGGTACAATAAAATGTTAAAAAAAAAAAAAAAAAGGCTCTTGTTTTTTTTGGGGGGAAAAAAAAGCAATAGTTTAATTATGATTTCAAATCCAGGTCAAAAATACTTACCGTCTATCTAGTTATTCACAAAAATATGAAAGAAAATATTAAAAAGGCATCGCAGCATGAGATGCTCCTCTGGCTTTTAATCTTCCATAGCATTTACAAATATTTAAACATCTATTATTTGCCAGTATTCTACAATGGACTCCTAGTTCCCATAATTTTTTTTTTCCTGAGAAGGCACATGGGTTATGCCACATCCTTCTTCAAAAACATTGTATGCATTCCAAAAACTACAAAACCATTATTTTTTAAATTTGCCAAATACTTATTTCCATAATATTGTGTAACCGATTGCTTCAGTTTAATCTCAAGCTATTTTTCTGTCTAATTTCCAGGTTGCTGCTAATTTAGCTCAGTTCTCCTGAGCATGTTTTCTAATTGTGAAGGTTGGTATGATTACTTCTGAAGTCTTTACACGTGGAAGCTGAAACTAAACCTCTCAAATCATTTTTAATGATGCAGTAAAATATTCCTGATAGAATTTTCAATGAAAATAAATCAAGGAATAATACTGCCCATTAATGCAGGCTTTACTTGCAGTCAAATAAAAGACAGAAAAAGCAGCCTGAAATGAAATGAAACAAAGTGCTAATAGTTGTAATAGCTGGTTTACACTCTTTTTTTTTTTCTTACATGTGCATTTGCTTTTCTTCAATAAAGAAGCATTAAGTAAAACCATAAAATGAAAATTAAAATGTTTCAGTATAATGGTTTTGAACAAAACTAGGGAAATGGATTAAGATGTGCCACAGGAAAGTGGGAGAAAGCTTTCATTTCACTACCTATTGAAAATAAATTCTCATGTTTGCAGATTCTTAAAGGTGAGAAAGGTTTCAGAGTGTACAACTGAAGAACATGTGTAGTTGACACTGATTTCTCTTGCAATCCCAGCGTCACTTATGTTTTTGCTGTCTGCTGACTTCATTCAATTTTTCTGATTTTCTGTTGTCAGAGGACATCACCAATAGAGGACCTCAGATAACAGTGTTTAAAAGGTGAAAAAAAAGTTATTACAAGTCTGATTATGCCACTTGTATGGTTATAAACTTGAAATAAATCTCATTCTTTCCACAGAATAATGCTGAATTTTATAAGGTTAGCTTCCTTATTCAACCTCCTCATTTCCTTCAGATACATGTTGCTCTCCAAACACATGCAATGTCACACATACAACAGCATGGTCATATTCATGTTCTCATAAATATTTAAATTTCTGGCTGGAATCCTTTCATGTCTTGTTAACATAGAAATATTTTATAATTAATTACAATGTTTTATGTATCGAATATATACCTCAGTACTCAAGTCAGGGCTTAGTTTCCTGCTCTATGTTACCACACACCATTGGATCTAGTCCTATATTGATCTTTTTACATATTATTAAATAGCCTTTTTGAGACTTGTGCCCTCATCTACTTCAGATCTATACTGAAAGAAACATTATCAGTGAAACCTTCCTTGCCATCCCACTTTAAATCTGATTCCAACACCCTAAATTCATTATCTCTCTCCTCTGCTTATTTCTAACTCATATAATTTATCCCCTATTTCTACTAAGTACACATTATTACTTATTGTTCATCTATTATCATCATGTAAATGAAATTATAGGGTGCATTGCCCTTTGAGTTTGATTTCTTTCACTTAGCATGATGTTTTTAAATTTTTTCTGCATTGTTAAGTAAACCAGTAGTGCATTTATTTTATCCATAAGTAGTATTCCATTCTATGGAAATGCCCTATTTGTTATTCATTGACCACTTGAAACATATTTAGGTTATTTCCTGATTTGGGAGATTATATAAAATAGCCACCATAAACCTTTGTATAGAGGTAATTTTATGAAGATAAATTTTCATTTCTTGGCAAAACTTAGGAATGTGGTTGCTGGGCCAGTCGGAAGCCCCAGTCCCTATGGCTGTAGGTTATCACACTTCTACCAGTAAGGATGGTTGACAAGTCCCATCACAATTCAGAAGACTGCTATTTAAGTAAAACTCCTTAGGACTAAGTGGGCAGATGCATAATGGTCTATCTCTCTGGAGTCAAGGAAAAATTGCTGTGGGTTTTCTCTTATCCCCAAAAACGGAGACCCAGCATCTTATTGGGTTCTGTGTATGAGAGTCCGTGTGTGCCTCGGTTGAGCTTTGTATCTGATTATTTACATTGGTTAACCGACCATTCACAATTCTTTGAGTGGGATCCAAACCAACAAGCTATATTGGAAACTGTCAGAGGCAAGCTCTAGCACACTTTCTATGTTTAGAGCCCACATTTTAATAACCTCTTAAAGTTACAATCTCTGTAACTGATGATTGTTGATTTTCAAAGGAAGGTGACTTCAAGCAGAAGTGCCCTTTACCAAAGGTAGTTTTAAGTGCTGAGTCTTTATTTGTGGGTGCAACCTCAGAACAGCGAGAGGAAGGGCACAGGAAACAGAATATCACCAAACTGGATGTTGCTTCAGCACAGACACCACCTCGTCATTTATCCCTGTGGAATAGCGCTGGGACTCACGCGGGCCACTAGAGAGGTGAAGGAGGGGTGATTTGGCTAATCTCCCTCCCATCTTCTCTTACTCACGGGTTAACTTTACTTCCTCTGCAATTCTAGGTTCCATCACTTGGTTCCTTAAGCTCTCCCTGGGGAAGCCAGATACCCTGGCCGACCTGCAGCCTATTGCTTCACGTATCTCTGAAAATGAGCGGAAGAGTCAGCCACCACTTTCGATGGTGACATAATTATGAGCATCAGCAGGAGTCAGTCTCTAGAGAGGTGGCTGGGGAGGAGCCAGCGAAAAAGCAGGCTGAGAGATCTGAGGCAGCACATTAGGAATGTCTGATGCACAGTCCATTACTGTCCTGTTTTTTTTTTTAAAAATATATGTTGTGAATATAAATAAAGAGCAGAGAACACTATAAAAAAGTCAAACATCATCTGAACTCCCTTTTATCACTTAAATTAAAAAAGTCTATGTATCTACTTTCTTCCCATCTACTGAAGTAACTTAAAAGTATCCTGGAAAAGGTATTTCCTCCTCCATGAGAGAAACAGAATAAGAAAATATCTGCCTTCAAATGGGCAAGATGAAATAATTTTGTTGCTTTAGCTAGGCAGCATGAATTGTATTTGAGGATATACACTAAGTGGCCAGATTATTATGCCCACCCCATCAGTAAGTACCCCATTGGGCCACATTTGCCTTCAATACTGGGGCAATTCTTCTTGGCATTGACCTCACAAGATGTTGAAAGGTGATGCAAGGAATCTGACACCATGCCTGATGAATAGCACTGTCCAGTTCTGTGAGATGTGATGGTTGTGGAACCAGCTGCCTGATGGCTCTTTTAACTTCATCCCACAAATGCTCAATTGGATTGAGATATGGAGAATGTGGGGGCCACCTAAGCAAGGTAAAGTCTCCCTCATGTTCTTGAAACCACTCCTGCACAATACAAACATCATGGCATGGTAAATTGTCACCATTGGGATACACCATCAATATGATAGGATGAACTTGATCAGTAATTATACTTAAATATGTTGTGCTATTCAGACATTGTTCCACATGAATTAAAGGTCCCAAATCATTCTAGGAAAACATGCCCCAAACTATAACACTGCCCCCACCAGCTTGAAGGGTTATACTCATGCATGTGGGGTGCATGCTTTCATGCTGTTTCTATGAAATTCTCATCTGCAATCTGCATGATGCCACTGGAAACATGATTCATCAGGCCACAGGATTTTTTTCCAATGCTCAACTGTTCAATCCTTGTGTTATGTGCAAATTGAAAACATTTTGTCTTGGTAACTGCAGATAGAAAAGGTGTCTGAACAGGCCTTCGGCTTCCATATCCCATATGATGCAGTGTACATCTAATTTGCCTATAAACATCAGGTGGTCATAATAATCTGGCAACTCAGTATTTGTGTGTGTGTGTGTGTGTCCACAAATCTATTATAGCCTAAACTAGAAAGAAGCTTATAAGGATACTCTCATTCCTTCAATCCAGTTATGCTTTTAGCCCACTTTATATAACCATCAAAACTGTTCTTGTCAAGTTATTGTGACCTTCACATTGCTAAAGTAAATTGATGACTTATAAACATACTTATTTGATAAAATATCCAAATAATAATTATAGTGATCACTATAATAATAAATAATAATGAAGCCATTAGATCATACCTACCGTGACCATCATTAACTCTACATTCATATGCCCTTGCAAATACTATTAAAAAAAACCATTCATTCTTCCTGCCTTGGTGATGTAAAATAGAATAACTGTGCCTGTATATAAATAACATGTTCTAATCATGTATAAGACTTAACATTCTCTTTAATATATAATGATATTCAAGTGATGTAATGTGGGTGTCACTAAGGTAAAATTGGAAGAATGTAAGAAGAAATAACCACTAACTTATTATCTTGAATTTAAAAAAAAATCATTTCAGAGAGGGAGAAGGAAACAGAGATAGAAGCATCAATGATGAGAGAGAATCATGGATAGGTGACCCCCTGCACATGCCTCACTGGGGATTGAGTCCACAATCCTGACATGTGCCCTCACTGGGAACTGAACTGTGACCTCCTGGATCAAAGGTCAATTGCTCAACCACTGGGCCATGCCAATAGTGGGCTTACTTTAAACTTTTTTAAATTTTAATTACTCTGAAGGATTTCAAAATATAAAATCAAGATTTATCCACATCATTGACTTAGTTTAGTCATATTCTGTTAAAATTATGAATGACCTTACAGTAAATATGTGATATCATTAAAAATTAAAGTCACAACCATGTTATAAATATTTTTGTACAGAACATAGGAAATGTATAGGCCAAAAAATATTTTTACATTTTTTCAAATGCCCAGTATGCCTTGTAAATAGCAACAAAACAACAACAACAAAAAAACCCACAAAACCCCCCAAACTGGAAACAATCTAAATAACCACCCACAGTCTGATGAATAAACAAACTGCTGTATATCTATACATTAGAATACTAGGCAGTCACTGAGGAATGAACATTTGACATATGCTCCAACATAAATGAACTACAAAATATTTATTATAAGTGAGAGAAAGCAGGAAAAAAGAGTACACTCTGTAGGATTCTATTGATATAAAATTCTGGTAACAGAAAGTTGATCAGCAGTTCCTGAGGACAAAGAGGTATGAGTTAGGGAACACTTTACTACATGCAGTTTATTATATAGCAACTGAACTTTCATAAAACTTTTATAAGAAGGAACAAAGAGACATTGTTACAAAATTCTCAGCATGCTTCTCGGGTAAGGATGGGCCTCTTTATGCTATAGATTAAAACACCAGCTTTGTTATGGGAAAAGTTGCTTGATATTCTTATGTGAATTGCAGTCCAGGTTTTGTAATTAAAAATGATCCATCCGTGTCTGCCCTCTCCAACACACACTTGACTCTCTTGCTCACATGGGCAAACCACAGGTCTATTGTATTAACTGATTTGAGCTCAGATTTATGTTCCAAGTGACCCCATTAACCAGGTGGAAGTTTTCACCCCGTGAGGATAATGGCATTTGTGACATCACAAATAGAGGCCTTCTTCACAGACCAAAGTACCAGAGAAACTGTTGGTGAAAAGATAATGATTCAAAAAAAGGTGATATGAAATTCTGTAAGGGTTGAATGTCCCCTATAGCTTAATTAATGGGGTCATGCACCCATTTATCCACACTAATTACATTTCCCTTTTCATTTTCTTCTCTCCTATACATGGTAATTGGTAAAGATTACCGAGTGGTAATTGTTAATCAGTCTTTGTGCCCGTTTTCATGTTTAAAAAATAGATTTTCCTTTTAAGTTAAAAGAGAAGGAATATAAGCAATGGCATAATAAAGGTATTATATAATCAATTTCTACTTATCGATGGGTGGGTTAGATCTCCTTTGAATTGTTTTCAGTAAAGTTAATCTTCCCTTTGCATGAAAATAGTTTTAGTATGTGTTCTTATAATGCACTTGTGTAATTTTAGCATAAACATTATGTATTGTATTTTGCCATTACAATTAGTCAAAGATTTTGCATAATTCATTCTATTTGAATTTTGGATTTAAATTTTTTATTTACTAACTTGTTTTGCAAAAACTTATTCTTTAAAAGCATCCTTTATTAGTATTTAATATTTGATAAACTCTATTTGTGAAAGAAATAAGCATCTATCATGATCGTGTTTTGATATTATTCAAAATGCAAGCTGAGTCTAACAAAGTCAGGCGGAAATGTCCACACAATATTATAGTGCTATTTACAGTCAGCCCATAGTAACCGGTTAGTGAACGTTTTTTTTCTCTTTCTCACAAATTTAGAAAAGAATGATAAACTAATGGCTAAATAAAAGCACTCCTCAGAAATGCACACTTCCATTTGTCGCTTCATTCTGAATTCACAGGATCTCAAAATATTTTTTAAAAATTAAAGATCACAATTTACTTTTAGGTTTTTACTCGACAGCAAATTTTCTTGAATTTTTGTCATAGTTATTACTTGTATGTCAGCTCCACATTTTGCCACCTCATTTAGAGAACAGTGTCAGTTTCAGACTATGTATTTCAAGACAGGCTGGATCTATAGAGTAATTTTATTCCTCTCAGCTTCATTTCCCTTAATCAATAAAATAAGAATAATATACCTGTCATAAGACTATTGTAAGGGTCAAATAGAATATATTTTTTAATAATTTCTTACAAATTACCTATTAATTGCTGAATATTTACTTAAAATAGTAACTATTATAATCCTAAATCAACCTACTCATTATTTCCATCACATATGTGGGGAGATAGAGGCTCATAAAGATTAACTATTTGTCTAATGTTTGGCAGGTAGTCAATGTTTCAGCCTGTCCCCAATTTCTCTGTATTTAACTGCTATACTGCTCATGTGCACCCAGACCAACATGGCCTTACTGTTTTCCTGGGAATGATTAAAGTTTCAGAAAGATCCCTTCCAGATTACAGGCCTCTGACTTCCTGTCTTTTAAAGAGAACTTTTCCCTATGATATATTAATATTTTCTTAGTATCATCTATTTTACGACCCAAAAATATCATTCTCAAAGGAGCCACCCTTGGAAATGTAATCATCAAGAAAGATAGTGCAAAACAAGCTGATTAAAAAGGGGGCAAAGGACATGAATAAATATTTCTATATATTTAAAACCATGATCTTATACTAGTACTACCAGTGCCAATCCAATAAATTTCTTCCTTTTGATAACTCTATTTCTAAACAATGAGAAGCCTACTGCCATTATCCTATATAATATACAAATTGACCAAACAGTAGAACAACCAATCACTATGGCATGCATTGACCACTAGGGAACAGATGCTTGATGCAGGGGCTGCCCCCTGGTGGTTAGTGCATAGGGAGAGCATCGCTCAGCCAGAAGCCAGGCGCACAGCTGGTGAGCACAGTGGCAGTGCTGGGAGTGTCTTCCACCTCCACTGCAGGCAGGCGATATGGAGCAAGGGGCCCTGGACTGCGGGACCCCCGGACTGCGAGAGGGATATCTGACCCTTGGGATTGGGCCAAAGCCGGCAGGCAGACATCCCCCGTGGGGTCCCAAACTGCAAGGGAGTGTAGGCCGGGTTGAAGGGCAACCCTCTCCTCCCCGCCCCCTGCATGAAGTTCATGCACCGCTCCTCTTTAAAATGCTTATTATAAACAGCTTCTGCTTAGCCGGGTATCCATAGGACATGGATTAGGAGTGAAGATAAATAAATGGAAGTTTATTGGACATTATTTTATGATTCATACTTGATTTGTATTCTTACAAGTTGTGCTCTATTAATTAAAAGTGTTATTTTACTCTGCTGGAATTAAAATAATTTAATTTTAAACTGAGGAAAATAAAAGTATCTATGAGTCTGTAATATGTGTCAGATATTGCCATTACCTACCTTATTTAACTTTATGCTCACACTTAAATCCTATTTCTAATCTATCTAAATGGGATAAGCAAGAGCTGGCAAATGCTAGAGCTGAAACTGCAATCTAGATTTGTTGATGTAAAAAATATACTATTTTTCCTAGTGAATTATGTTTAACATCCTTGATTTTAATATGCAACTGAGTATTAAGAATATGAAATATTTTTGTCAGAAATACCTGGATTTTTAAAAGAAGTCATACTCTGTTTAGTCAATTTCTATTAGAAATTTTCAGCACTCATGCCATATCAGCCAAGTCTTAGACTTCACATGGTCATGCAACTCATTGATTTAATCAATCCAGTCAATGAATATACACCCATGCACACTCATGCCAATATTATATTTTGGGGCCAAAAAGTTGC